TAATTTTTCATTCAAATCTTAATGATTTTTGACAAATAAATATACCACGTTAATCTCCTCACATAGGAGAATGCGTTTAAACCTGATATTACCAATTTTGAGGTGTGAGTTCCACTTTTATTTAAGCTTTAAGTTGCTCAAACAAATTGCTCAAATAATTTGTTAAAAACCATTTTTTCCAAGAGAGTTTTCAAGCACATCTTCTAAATTCTTATTTCAACCAAGCCGCAAGTAGTACAACAAATGATCATGCAACAAAAAGTTGACCATGTGATCAACTCTATTCCCATTATCAAATCATCATGAAACTATTAAGAATTCGAAACGGGAGAATGGTGATTGTTAAAAAAAACAAAATATTGAAATAACCAAGATATATTTACATACAAAAATCTAGATTGGTAAAGATTAGAAATCAATCTTGTTCTTTGGCTGGAGGAACGGCCAAATGCCACCTACCAGAAGAGCGGAAGCATTGATAAACTTTATCCCAAGCCCAGCTCAATTTGTTCTGAAATCATGGACTAAGTATGAATGGGGAGTTTTATCATTGAATTGCATACAAATAGATAAGATCCTTAATGGGTTTATATAGGTATAGTAATGACATACATTAATTGCAATAGTGATTCTTTTCTTGTTAATTGCATGAATTCATTTTCTATGCCCTCTTTCCCATTTTCTCTCCATGGGCTCTGCACAAAGACTTAGCTCTCTTATATTACATGTGAGATTCATGTAGCCATTGTCATGAATTTAAATATTCAACTTGAGGGCATTATGAAACACAAAAATCTGTATCATGGGTTAATCCTCTTATTTTTCTTACAGGTTAAAAATCATCCCACTTACATTCAAGGCAGGTGACTTGCTGTGCCAATGTCTGTTAATTTTACTCAGCTCTATATTAAGCATGAGTTATTCCTTTCCTTGTAGCCTAGACTAACCAAAGATTATTGATTTTGTACCTCTTTTCACTTATATGTGAGCTCTTCTGTTCCCCAATTTTGCTTGCCTTGCCTCTATTGATTCTCTGCTTGTCCTTAAAATTTCATTGACAGCTTCTGCAGTAACTTATTGATCGTCGGGAACATATGACTGCTTAGTATTGACTAGCTTGCTGGTGGATCAAACTTATGCTTCCACTTTTAATGCATATAATTTTTTTGCAAACATATGGGATGAATATCATGGATAAAATCATAATCTTAGGGATCTTTTGGTAACGTTTTTGTTTTCGCGTCTTAAAAAAATCAAAAACAGAGATAATTTTTGTCCCTGTTTTGTGATAAACACTGAAATAAAAAACATGTTTGAGAGTCATTTTTTTCTATCAAATTATAAGAATAAAAACAAAAAATATGTTTGATAATTACTTCAAGTTTTATCATAAATATGTTTGGTATCTATTTGGTAATTCAACAATCTCAAATGATAATTTAATCAATTTCAAATGACAATTTAATCCCAAATAGCAATTCAATCAATCCTAAATGACAATTCAACAATTCCAAATAACAATTCAATTAATATCAAATGACAATCAATCTCAAACAAAACACACACAGAGAACACAATACACACACAGAGGATGAACACAACAAACACAATACACACACACAGAGATCACTCACACACATACAGGCGCACAAATATGTGCATATATGCACAGATCTTCTAGGTTTCACAAAGAACAAGAGCAAGACAGAGAGAGATCGATCATTGTCTTCGTTTAAGGGATCGATCTTCATCTGAGTTCTTCGTCGTTTGTGAGAATGAGACAAAGAGAGATCAATCATCGTCTTCGTCTGAGGGATCGATCTTCGTCTGAGTCCGTGGTTTGTGAGAGCGAGACAAAAAGAGATCGATCATCGTCTTCGTCTGAGGGATCGATCTTCGTCTAAGTTTGTCATTTGTAAGAGCGAGACAAAGAGAGATCAATCATCGTCTTCGTCTGAGGTATTGATCTTTGTCTGAGTTCGTCATGTGTGTGTGTGTGTGTGAGAGAGAGAGAGAGAGAGAAGATGAGAGAGTGAAGAAAAAAGAAACTCTTCAAAAGGTTTTTATAGTAAAAAAAAAAAAAAAAAAAACCCTTCTTTTTATTGCTAATGGGATTCGAATGGCAAATCTCATTAAATAGATTGTGGAGCGCACGTGTTTCCAAAAAACATGTTTCATAGAACATCTTTTTTTTGTTCCTTGTTTTTAGGCCTAGTTTCCAAAACAATTTTTTTTATATAAAACAGAAACATACATCTACATGTTTTTGTTTTTGTTTTGCCTAAAAAACGAAAACAAAAATACAAAACACAAAATAAAAACATCAACCAAATAACCCCTTATTCTCTTGCCCTGTGTTCTAAATTTTGCGCTCAGGACCAAGCAAGTTGGATTTGAGAAAATTTCCTAGTTAAGAGTGAGATTCAAATGGCCAGCTAACTATATAATATGTTCATTTGTTATGAGAGTGTTGTGCTACTTGCACTTCCCTTTGAGATTCCTGTTAGACATTTCAATAATGTGTATAGTTGTAACCTTCATTTATTCTAATGAATGGGTGCCTTTCCATGAAAGAGTGCTTTTTAATGAACTGTCTTTTACATATTTTCTTATGAAGAGTCATCTTTTCATGTACATGTGTCTTGATATGAAAGTGTCTTTTAATAAAAAAGATATCTTTTCATGAAATGATGTCTTCTAGTAAAAAAGTGTCTTCGCACCTCTTCATTCTCTGTAAATGGGAGTGCCTTCATCCCATTTCTTGTACACCAAAATTATTTCTATTCTTTCTCCTCCCAAAACTCTCTTGCTTTCTTATTAGATCTAGCCATGGTAGCTAGTCGAATGTGAGAGATAATATAACTGCTTTCCTTTAGGACTCGACATTCACTTCCTGACTCTATCTATTCTAGTTGAGTAAAGGAGACTTCTTGTGATAAACAATTTTAGTCGCTCTTTCTTTTTGATTTAGATCCACCCTGATCTATGTTCATCCATTCTTTCTTTTTTTCTGGGATGTATCAACATATTGATGGGACTAAGAGCAAATGGTAAGTGAGACAATTCCTTTCGATAGTAGATCAAAGTCAAATCTCTCTTTTTGAAAACAAAGCCGTAAATTATACCATTTGAAAGGCATTGCCGGCATTATGCTTCTTTTATTCTGAAAGTTATTGGAAGGGAGGAAAATTTGTCTTAAAGATAGCAAATACATTCATGCATTGGATTCTAGGTTTTATGTTTGTCTCCATTATTTGGCACCTTCCAACACTTACTACTTTCCCGGTTACAAACTTGCAACTGCAAACCTTTTGTATATAATATGTGAAATGTGGGGGCCTACAATGTATAATATTTTATGTTTTGGATTAGATCTGCACGACTTTTAAACACATTCGATGCAAATTTGGATTCAAATTAATTTTTCTTTTTTTTTCAATGTAGACTTTAAAATAAACTCGATGCATATTTGAATATTGAATATTTTATACAAATTCGGATTCAAACTAATTGAAATCCGATCATTTCACAAGTCTAGAAAGTCTCTCATTTATCAGCTGATCCATTGTCTATGGGCCACTTGACTGTCACATCAACCTTTTCGATCCAAATGCATGTTCATCTTTATATATTAACTCTAAAGGTCATCATCGATCTCAAAATCAATCAATCAGAAACAATTGTAATTTTTAAAGGTGAAGCTACTACTTTAATTAAGTAACAACTAATAAAAGAGAAGTTACAATTAATTAAAATAATTCTTGACTTGAATTATCTCAAGTCTAAGAATCAAAATTTTGTTTCAATTCTTAATTTTTTTTATTTTTTTCATTCTCTTTATAAAACAGGTCAAAACTTTTCAAAAAAACTTAAAAACATTTTCGTTGCCTAGGCTAGGTGACTAAAATAATGCATCAAAATAATTTTTTGATCCTTAATCTCAACAATTTATACCTTTAGTAACTTTTTATAATACCCCCAAAAAAAAAAATTAGTATCTTAGGGATCTCAATGGTTCTGGTAAATAACAGTTAAATACAACTGTTCAGCACTTGCGTTTAAACCAAGTCGTTGCAGTATAGTGGTGAGTATCCCGCCTGTCACCCCGGTGACCTGGGTTCGATCCCCGGCAACGGCGATGCACAACTTTTTTTAACCGACTTTTTTAGTCCATTCTTCCTCCACATATGCTTATGATATGTTTCTGATTCAAAATCAGCCATTTTTTAGATTCATTGCACTTCTCTTCTTCACATCTCTTTATTTATCTTGTTGCTCTTGAAAATATTGGCTATATTCGTTCAATCAATCGATGTATTATTTCTCATTCATCCATAAGATTTACATCAAAACCAAATATGTTTGTTCAGAAATGAAACGTTCATCTCCTCAAATTCATTGAAATGAGAAATGATATATACACCATTCTCATTGTGTTTTCCAAAATTAAACAATCCCCACAGACCCTTTTGTCTAAAGCGGCCTTATCAGTATTTATTGAAATTGGACAGTAAAATACGATCCCCGTCCTCCCTTTAGATGTCATATCAGCATTTACTATTTACCCGATTATGCTGCGATAGCTTTGGACCTTTGCCACTATCCATACTCATTCGCTCGAATGTATTACCCCAAGGCTTAATGCATTCCTCATTGTCAATGGTGGAATAACATGAAGTCCGCTTACCCTGTTGATAATCTATTAAGTCGAGACTGTTGGGGAATTCATGCTCATCTGGAAAAACTGAAAGCATAGTGATTAGAGATTCGTAGCTACCACAGTTTCACCAAAGCTTTTCAAGACAAGCTTTGTTGTATCTGGTGGCACCATAGCAATCTTCACTATGTTTGGCCTCTCTGAATTTTCCTTGCCGTCCTTGGGACAAAGACCCTCACTCCGAATATGCTTTTTTAGCAAACCAACAAAGTTAGGTTGTTGTCCTTCTCAGTTTAAAATTCAAATGCCAAAACAGAGTCTCAGACAAGGCAAAGACAGCCAACACTAACTTGCCAACAAAACTTTTCAACAGATCTTCCAAACACCCAATATCAATAAATATTGCTCACTGTAATTCAATAGAATGCGAAATATGTTATTGTTCAAAACTCATAAAAGATGTAAAGGAGCTATATAACCTCCAGACTGCAAAATAAATATCCCAAGCTTCTAAAAGCCAAAAAAACTTGGACAAGAATGGTGATCATGGTACGCGCCTAGATCTACCAAAACTGAATGATAACAACTATCGATTGAAATTTCTATTTTTTGGAGCCATTAGGTAGTAGTTCAGCGGAGTCTCCAGATGGATTGAGCTCATCCCATGCTTCGATCCATGTGACCATCGCATCTGCCAGCTTAATGAAGTACTCATCGACCTTACCAAGCTTTGCCTTGACTTGCTTGGAGAGTTCAATGTAGCATTTCTGAACAGTGGTGCACTCCTTTGAAAGTGTAGCAGCTTGGAAAAATGGGATCAGCTCTTCTTGCCAATAGATACCTTTGTATTCCTTCTTGAGGTTCACAAAGGGGTTACTCGCTTTGCTGTGCCAGATGTAGGGCAGACCCGTCTTCACTCCCAATCCCAAGTGGTCACATATCACCTAGACAGCGGATATATCAAAAGCCATGAGCAAGAAAGTGTGAAAATGTAATTGCTAAGAGCCAATACGAATTTTATAGCAGAACAATGGTCAGAATGATGCAACGAACTTCAACGTGCAGAGAAATTAACACGCAACACAAACAATACCTTTGTGCACCAACCAGCCCACATGTCATCGTAGCGTCCAATAGGCTGGCCATCACCCATGAGTCCAAAGTACATTGCAGGGCCGATCAATTCACGGTTGAATGCCAGGTTCATACCACACATGGGGAAGAGGGTTCCTTTTGGTATGGTCAGAACTGCATCAACATACCTGAAAACGATGGCATATAATTAATAAGCCTGTTGAAGGTGAACATTTCAAACATTATAAAGCAAGATTGGTTTTGTACCTAGCGTTTCTCTCAAGAGGCTTGACAAGCTGGGTTGGGGCATCATAATCTGGGATGTTAAGCCAGAGGCCATGGGAAACTGCAGTAGGAACACCCTCACGGAGGCTAAATGGATAGCCACGAACAAAATCTGCACCTTCTCGGTATGGATCATACAGGGTATTGTAGAAAAATGGAGTGGATGGGGTCAGCAGGTTCTTTATGTGTTGCTCAAGTGCATTAATATCTTTGCCAGACGGATCTTTCGCAACCTGAGAATAAATATAGCACTCCCAACGTTACAACCACATAGAACTGTCTCCCCCAACTCAAAATTGCAGAGACAAACTAAGATTTACAATAGCAAAGACCTCACTATGCTAATAAGGTAAGTGTAGGCAGGAGCATACAGACTATACGGACGTCATGTACTTATATATAATTCAACTTAGAAGGACTCAACACTAATTTGCTAAACACAGAAGACCATGTGTTTGTGAAGAAGTAAGAACCAAATGCAGATATAATTGAAATTAGAAAACTTGAAATTTAGGACAGTACATACAGAATAAGAAAATGTGAGATCAGATCATCTATTGCAAAAAAATTAACCAGAAGCAACTATTTTAAAGAGAGATCAGGGACCTCCCAATAGGCTGCCCATTACACCAAACTTGAACCGAATGGCTAAAAATCACCAAGGATGAATCTACAATCACGAAATCACTATTAAGAAAGAAATGTCACTTTCTATTGTGTTAGAGAAGGTTTATCATTGGGATGAGATCAAAAGTCACCTTCCGAGATCTCTTCTTTTAATAGTTTGTTGTTAAACCCTATAACAGATCCGTTATATGATGTACAGGGAGAGAGACGCAAAGATAAAAGGCAGATCAAATCAAGGCAGCACAAAATATAACGAAAATTTTTCAGAAAACAATTAAACATATATGAGAGAGAATAACAAAATCAAGATCCAGATTCAGTAACCCCACAAGACTCCATCACACACCCAAATTACCAAATCAATCATTTAACCAATAAACAAACGCAAGTTCAAAACAAACAACAAATCAAGAACCAATATTCTACATAAATACTCAAAATCTACCAAATTTCAACAGATTCAAACACCAAATCCCATAAATGCACAACAAAAAACACATCAAAATTCAAACTTCAAAACCAAGCCCAGATCAAATCGAATTTGCAAAACCAAAATAAAAATCCCAAAAGGGTATTCAAAAAGAGGATCATAGTCTTACAAAGCAATCATCATCAATTGTGAAGATGTACTTCTTTTTGGAGACCATGTAGCCGAAGCAACGGCAAGCGGAGTCCTTGAAGGATATGCAGGAGGCTTTGGGACCCAGAATTTTGTTGATGTCATTGCGATTGTAGAGCTCATAATCGTATCCTTCGGGTACCTTGATGACCTTTGTTGGGTCACCGTCTTGAACAATGATCAGATGGTATTGTTGAAAGAAAGGCCTCCACATCTCCAGGAAGTCAAGGTTCCGGATCGTGGGTATCACTATGTCCAGCTCGTCTTTGAGAATGGGGGTGGGAGAGACAGAAGGTTGTGCCATGGTGGAGAGAGAGAGAGAGAGAGAGAGAGAGAGAGTTTAGAGAGTAAGTTGAATTCTAAGGGAGGGCTGTGTGCGCTTTATATGAAACTCTACAGCAAGTAGTGACCCTTGAGAACAAATGCCATTGTCGCAGCCTCGTTGGTTTTTCATTCAAAAAGGGGAAAATGAAAACAAAAGAAATAAATAATGTTCATTTCAAAAGAAATGGAAAGAACGTAAACATAAATATCTTCATTAATTTGATACTTTCCTAATTTCAAATAATTATTTTATGTCAAATAGAGTGGAAACAGATACGATTAAATTAAGACGTCTAGAATTTGAATTTTGTCAATCTCTTGTAATTAGATTATGAGAAATTTATTCGTCGTGAATCCGTAATCTCAGCATAAATAGTCTGTCTTTAGTCAGAGTGGAGAAGAGATTAATTAAGATACACATAAATTAGTTTAGACACTCCTATCCACTTAACGAAAAATAAAAATAGAGAGTTGCGCCACATTGTTGTCTAAGTTATGAATTTTATTCATTTTATCTCTAAAAATCTAGGAATAATGTTTTGCTTATCAAATTTTTTAATAAGTTTTTTATTCTAAGTGATGTGGCAGTGGCATAGTCTTTATCATTGAATATTAATAGAATCCACTTATTTAATAAACGCAAATATTATATGTCAGAAACAGACTAACGCTTGGTTTTAAGCCATAAAGAAATCAATTTAAATAATTAAAAGAATAATAAGAAAAATTTTAATAGAAAAATGCAAAATGTGATTTGCCCAAATAAAAAAAAAGGAAAGTCTAATAGATTTCCCTCCTCTCTGTCTAGAAATTTTAGTGGGGATGATGAAACTTAGTTATACCTTCATATTGTAATATTTTGGTTAAAAATCATTTAAATTGTCCTAGTTTCCATAAAATAATAGACATGTGATAGGTGGAGAGGATTTATTGCTAATTCAAATGTGATACATGAATACAAACTAACTTTCAATGGCGAATTTAAATATTGAAAACTATTTAATATTATAGAAATTTAAATTCTCAATTTATAAAAGTATAACAACAAATAAGATTGATCAAATTTTTATTTATTTTGATCAAATTGTATAAAATACTTTGATCAAAAAAAATTTCCTACTCAAGAACATCATCTTTTCTACACAGTCTTCAATGACAAATAACTTAACCAACCCACTCACTACCGTCAAACAATTCCACTAATTTACACATATTTTTCTCTTATTTTATCTCTGTTTACCTTAATTTTCAATTATGCAAATAAGAAAAGAGAAATAGATTACTAATTAAAATATAAAAATTGTACGATTAATACTCTATTTTCGATATTGGAACGTGTCTTTAGGTACAGAGTTATTACTAGTATAAGATATATTTAGTTTTATCATACAATTTGTAATAAAAATTGTGTTTGAGAATTTCAAAGCTTAGGTTTGTACAACTTTCCTGGATGTGGATTACCAGAATGTAACGGAAAATCCTATGCAGCTAATATGATTTTCTCTGACTTCGGTATCTTATTTTTTCCAAACCTCCTACTTTCATTGCTATGAAGATTTTTGAAGGTTACAAAGTGAAAAACGCTTAGGTTGCAACAATGTTGGTTTAAGGCAGAATATATATAATATTAGCAATAACTCTGTAACTGAAGCTAATTTATAATACTCAAAATTAAAATATTAAGCGAGTTATATTTATATTTTGAGTAATAAATTTATTTATTTTAGTTATGTAATTTATAATTATAGTGGATGGAGATAAAATAAAATAGAGGTACGTGTGAATTAATAGGGTGATTTGACATTGGAGAGTGTTTTAATTGAATTGTCTGATATTGATGGTCATACAAAAAATATGATATTTTTTAGTAAGAAAACAAATTTAGAGATAAATTTTGTATCATTGAATTAAAATAAATAAAAATTTAATCAATATTAACGGCCCACCTCAGACCAGGCTTAGTTCAGAGGCTCAGTTTAGAAATGCAAACCAAGCCTAAGTCACTAGCGCAACCAAAGGTCAAATAAGAAATACAAGCCAATAAGGACCAAACTCATCGTTGGAAAAGTCAGTCTACTAGTGACGCATGTGAGATCTCTATCTTAAGAAAGAAATCAGGATACACATTGTAAGCCTCGACCACCTTGTTCGTTGTGCCAACATTATAGAGCCACTCACTCCTGTCACAAGGGTGACACCTTAATCAAGGCTCTTTCGCGATGGCGCCTCCATACTCTCCTATAAATTACGAAGTCTACCTACAATTGGGGACATAGATACATCTCAACATACTACACCTCTCAAGTAATAAAATTTTTTGACCACCGTCACAATTCTTTGTGGAGTTTTTTACTCAAATCGAACTAGCTAATCTTAACCCTTGTATTTTCATAAATCAAAAATTCAACTTCAGATAGATTAGTGCCGAAAATGATGGCTTCAAATCAACTTGGTCTCCATATTCAATCCTATCATTTTCTCACACGTGGAATTTTAGTTTAATTGGTCACCAAAACATACACTTCTTATTATTTTGGTCTCCGTCTTTCAATCATGCCTTTTTCTCAAAAATTTGAATTCAAGTCTAATTAGTTCTATAAAAGCTACATTTTTAAAATATCTCACATAATTCATTACTTGCATTTTCATGTCACACCACCGACGTAGACTCATTACACCAAAACTTTTTATTGAGTTATATCAGAAAAAAACAATTCTCCTAAAAATATGGTTCTATGCCTCCTAACAACTATAACTTGAAAACCCCACCTCCGACAAGTTCGTTTTTTTGTGAGTATTTTTTTATCACTTTTATAGTAATTTATAATTGATCTTGAAAATATTAGGATCAATTGTAAAATTGTCACAAAAATAATAAAAGAATATCCACAAAAATTATAAAATTACCCATAAAAATGATAAATTTTTTTGTTATAAAAAATTATAAAATACACCCACAAAAAGTTATAAAAATTGTAGATATGATACCAAATTTTTTTTAATACTGTAATTTCTTCCTTGAAATTAGGAAAAATTTCAACGACACCCCTTCTAGTTTACTATATCTTTGAGAACACTCCCTCTAGTTTATCATATCTTTAAGGACACCTCCTCTAGTTTCTGAATCTTCAATGACACCTCTTTTAGTTTAATTTAAATATCACTAATACCTCATACCATTAAACTATTATTTCTAACAAAAAAAATTCATCTGAAATACCAAAAATACCCCTACATAACCTCAAGTAAAAAAAATCATCTAAAATACCAAAAATACCCCTACATAACCTCAAATAATTTTTTTACATACAATTTTATTAAAATTTGAGCTGTTAAAATTTTAAAAAAAATCATAAATAACAATTGTAGTAAATAATTTGTTAGTAAATACTAATTTGTTATTTACTAATTCGTAATTTTTTTTTTAAAAATCGAGCCTATTAAATTTTTTTTTATATATTAAAATTTGAGCCGATTTAAACTCTACTCGAGTTGTTAGCGTCGATTAAAATTCTTTTTCGAGTCGATTAAAATTTATATTTTTTTACTTATTAAAATTCATTTCAATTAAAATTAGATTTTTTAAAATTTAAGTCAATTAAAATTCATATATTTTTATATATTAAAATTTGGACTGATTAAAATTCAATGTGAATTAATTAAAATTTGATTTGAGTCGATTAAAAATAATTTTTAATTGGCTCAAACAAAATTTTAATTAGCCCAAATTCTAATACGTAAAAAAAATATAATTTTAATTGGGACAAATTTTAATATGTAAAAAAAAAAAATTTTAATTAGTTTGAATAGAATTTTAATCAGTTCGAATTTAATTACGTAAAAAAAATTAGAAAACAGATGGGGTGTCATTGAAAATAAACTTATCTAGAGGGGGTCTCATTGAAGATATGTTTATCTAGAGAGGGTGTGGATGAAGTTTATTTTCAAATATATCATAGACAATTTAGTAAAATTGCATTCTACTTAATATTTTTAATATGACAAGGGGTGTTATTAAAGATTTAAAAATTAGAGGAGGTGTCATTAAAAATATGATAAATTAGAGAGAGTGTGGTTGAAATTTTCCTTATTATGGTGGGAGGGTTGTTCTTTTTTTAATTAAAAAAAAATGGGGATAAAAAAGAAAATTTAAAGACCACTCTGATAGATTTTTACTTGTAAAATCATGAAACTCTTGATCGTCGTTCGTTATTTTAGATTTTTACTTGTAAAATCATGAAACTCTTGATCGTCGTTCGTTATTTTTAAAAAAAATAAATTTAATTAAATTAATGTAACGTTCAACCATAAAAATTCAAAATCTATATTGTTCGAATTTCTAATGTTAAAATAAAGAAGTTTAGCTAAAACCCCACTCATATGTGTGAAAGAGAGATAATGATGATGTACGGGCAGCCGCGGGTTTACGGGGAGGAGGTGAGGTGATGTATTGTGTGTGCAGTGCATCGCTGGTTTTGTACGTCGGTGTGGTTCTTTGTACGAGTGTCAGATCGTGGGGTGTCGGTGTGTTGTCAATTATATTTAATTCGTATTGTATTGTGTTGGTATTATCATTTATATATAAGAGATATTTTATTTTAAAAAAATTCATATAATATTATATAAAAAAATTATAAAATAGTTGTTTTTAGTTTATAATATCAATTAATTATATTATTCACATGTAACTTCAATTTGACCAATTTAATATTTATATTAATTAGTCCTATATCCGTTCAAAAAAACCCATTCGTCATATCGTTTTCAAATTTTATTCCGCATCGTGTTTATATTGACAAGTTCTTTGCATGGGCTAAGGAGGTGGAGGTGGTGGTGGTAAAGGCATTAGACAAGTGGTAGGGTTGCAAGGGCTGCTTGGGAGGTAAGAAGACAACTGGTGTGGGGTGCAGCGAAGACCCGGCAAGCTTTGAACGAGTCAAAGTTGGAGGATGACAAAAAGAATAATTAGAAACCTCAAAAATAACTTGAACGATAACAAGAATAAATTATAAATATAAAAATTTTAAATTATAATATTGATAATTTTCTAAAGTCATACTTTAAAGAATTTATTCATAATAAATATTTTAATTATCTCTAATAAATATTTTAATATCGACATAAATATTCTATTTTTGATCAGATCGCATAAAAAAATAATTGAAGTACACGTAAACTGACATAAATATCTTTTTATTGTTAAACCAAAAAAAAAGAATAATTAAATTGGATTCAACCCATGTGACAAATTAGTATTCTTGGGCAAAATACAAGAAGTTTATATGTTTTCTCTTACAAATACCCCTCTCATCTAGTCACTTGGACACACCTTCTTAAGTCGATAAATATCTTAACCGATCTATTTTTATTGGATCAATTAAAGTTAAATTTATAATTTGAGTGATTAAAATGACACAATAAAAAAAAGTAAAAATCATAATGACACAAACCACATACTCCAGTAACCAATTGTAGTATAATTTGGAACACCAATCAATTATAAATCACTCTACGGGTTAAAGAACATTATTCAAATGACGTTTTTTATTTCAAATTGCTAATATCCAAACCTTAATTATTGTATTTTATTTCAAGAAAAATCTAGTGACGGGTAATGATAAATGAAGGGTAATGAAATAGAATCTCAATTGAAATGCCACTTTTCGATATCGTATATTTACACTTTTATCTAATAAAATTATATTGAGCGTAATTTTTTTCTATTTTATAATAATTTTTCATTTTTTGAATCAGTTATTATAAATTATTCTAATCAAAACTAATAATCCAGATTTACTTTCAACACGGTATTTCTGTCCCATGGGATAGGATTCTCTGAAAAGTAAAAAAAAAGGACTCAGAAGGAATATGCGGTGGCAAGTGACAGGCACGTGCTAGCTGCATGAGAGTAACTTCTGTGAAGGGGACGTGTCGGAAGGCTGATGGTCTGGGCGATTAATTCAAAGTAGGTGATGGATTTGGTCTTTTCTCTTTGGACCGTTGTGCCTCTTCCATGGGAGGACGGCAGTGAAAAATGCGTTCCTGTGCATTAGCATTGCATCGTTTTCCACGTACCCTACCAACTTTTCACTCTACACGTGGCACCTTTTTGACACTCTGGTACCAAACCCAAATGTGCAACTTAGACGGATAACCCGTCCAATCCGTCCAAAACCTTTTGAGTTTTGAGTAATTATATGTATCAATTTAAATTTGAATTTCAAATTAAAGAGGATCTTTGGATTAGTGGACCTTATTTAAAAAAGTTAATAAAACCTATTAATTCAATAATTTTATTTGATTTGAGATACAAATTTAAATTATAAATTTAAAATACATAGTACTAGTCAAATCTTCTTCACCTCTCGGTCGGCACAAAAGCTCTCTGCTTTTTTGGCTCACAATTTACGCCGCCTCCAACAAGTCTTCTTTTGTTGGCAAAGAATCAATTCCCACTTGGTTTAGTTTCATGTGGTCAAAGGTGGACGACGCAATTCCACAAAGCAGCCCTTTTCTTTAATTACTGGGTTTTTTATCCCATGAACTATGGGTTGGGCTGGACCCAAACCCAACATGTTGTACGATTCAAATGAACAATGCCTTAATGATAGATAGCACATTGATTTTATGATATGTATGTCATGATTTATTCAATGTGTGTGATTTGAAACTATTGCACATATTCAAAAGTTGTGTAGCCAACACGAGTTCAAAAAACTAAATAGATAACCTAATTTTTCATGTTCCCAAAAAAAATTTGAATTGACGGATTTCAACAGATGCTTAACTTTGAAAATAGTCGTATCCAAATGCTATGAAAATCAAAATATAGATCTTATGCTATTTCTAACCTGAAAATGTTGGTTCAAAAAAATAAGATACATGAAAAGGGATAGAAAGATAGACTTGAGTATCAGAATGAGAAGTTAATTTAAGAGCGTAGAAAGAGAACGAATATTTGAAGTGACACATTGACTAGGTGGTAGGGAATCCACTTTGCCTATAAAAAATGGTTGACGAGATCTTTAGAGCTCAAGACATATAATTTTATGACACAATAACTATCGTTTGAAGTTGTAAAAGAAGTTAAAAACCAAAAGGACCCATGCACATTTAGACAAAGTTAACAATCATCATTGATGGATCAGTAACCACACGGTGCGTCAATCCTTGCTGGCTCGCTGGGTTGAGGTGCTTAGTAAAGACAGTCAATAAGGTGATTTCACTCTCTCTGGAATTATGGGGTTATGATCCAGTTGAGTGTCTTTCAAGTAATGTTGAGTGACTGTCATACCTATCTGCACCATAGTTTTGAAGGTATATAAGTGGTTTATCATACGGGTTAGGTGGCCTTCAGTCTTATCAAGTGTTAGGTGGTGCTTACATAAGAATCAGTGTCAAACTTGTTGATTTTTTGTGGAGTTTAATTTGTATATGTGATCCGGATGATGACTTGATCCGAAGTAATGTTGTGTAGTTTTTTAATGAAAAATTTTTTGAGGCTTAGTCCATGGAGCTACGGCCGGGGGCAACGCCCCCGAGGAAAAGTTTTGGGCCCGTTATATAGTCCAGTGCGTAGGATATATAAAACCTGTTGTTTTGGTGATTAAGGTTAATATGGTGAATTGCACAGCTGCTCTCTGTATTCAACTCTCTCAATAGTGAAATTCCTGTAGCTTCGTGGACGTAGGAAAATTGCCGAACCACATAAAATCTGTGTCTTGTTCTTTTTTGTTTCTTATTGCTTTATATTCTTGATTTATTTTTCGATTATGTGTGTTTGTTAGTGAATTTAAATTGTTGTTAAATCCCAACAAAACTCTATATGATTCAACAGGTGTCATAGTACCTTATGCATCGGTGGCATATTCGCTCTAGATGAGTCAAGATATACCCTTGTGAAACCGTCTAAGTAGAACTTCCAGAGATCAAATTGTGCTCTGATCGTGTTAGGAGTAACTTCTCCTAGCACCAATCATATGCAGAGGTTTGAGGATTTCGCTCCCTCCATATACCGATAACCGAGGACCATGGTCTATGTCTTTTACTCAAGTTGTATCCATCAATCATCAACAGACAAAAATGCATTTAAAGATTTCATCCACATGTTCATTAGGAAATAGTGGGATAATCAACTAAAACGTCCATCAAGCCAAATTACTCACAATTGTTGGCAAAAGAAGCACTTGGTGTACGTCGTATCCATCAATGGTTTATTAGATGGTTAGGTGACATCTAGTTTTATCAGATGTGAGATGGAGGTTACCTAAGAATCGGTATAATTTCTAATATCACCAATCATATATTCTGAGGTTTGAGGATTTCTGATGACCGATTGCCGTATGTTAATGACTACTGATGACCTAGTGTCATGGTTGGGTCGTTTTCAGGTGCTATCCAATAGTCGTTAACACAAAAAAAAAAATGTCTTTAAAGATGTCACCCGCATTTTCATTAGGAAGGAGTTGGATGATCAACTAAAACACCCATGAGGCCAAATTACGCACAAGTTAGCCAAAAAAGCACTTGGTGGTATAAGTTGGCTCGCTACTTGCTCACTGAAAGAGAACATAAGATAAGAAACCGCCCTCCCAACCAAACCCAACCCCAAACAAGGGAGTTTGAAAGCCCAAGCTTTAAGCCCAATGTTGAAAAAAATCAGTATAATGTTGTTCTGGTCACCTTATATGCCATGGACAAATGATAACGCTTTACAACGAAAACATGTCATGTGACCTTTTAAACTTGGACTCATCAGAGGAAAGTGATATTTACAAATTACCTTGAAAGTGGAGGGCTTTATGCCTTGGATTCAAAAATATCCTGAAGAGTTTGGGATGATGAATGATTTCTTGATTAAGCTCATAGCTTCGAACTCTAATGTCCATTTCTTAGTAGTTTTATTGTTCTATGTAAATTTTTGTTGATTTCATTTTTTATTACTAGAAGAGATATCTATTTTCGTCATTTTAATGTACACTCTAAAAATAGTGACTTACGAAAAAAAAGTACTAATGAGTGATTACTAAGACAAATATACCAAAAAAAAGGACAAATATATAATAATTCAATCAAACAAAAGGCTAAGGTGCCTCCACAATATGATGTCGAAAATAATTTCAATAATTAATTTTGAATTAAATAATCTACGACTATTGATTTAAAGGATAATAAAATAATAAAAAATAATAACATAAGAAAAAAAAAAAGACACGTGATGAGATTTTATTGGCTAAAAAATAAAAATATATTATTGAAAATTACCTTTCAATACCATAAAATGAACAAAAAAAAAAATCTAACTCACATTGTAATTATCTCTTATGTTAATGAAGAAGGAGATTTTCAAATATTCATTGCAGAACCAAATTCGAGCTTGAAAGAATCAAGCTTTCTGGGGTTTTATATATATTAAAATTTTCCGGTGAGTACTACGCTGGGAGGTTTAGGTTAGGGTTTTTCTGGGTACTTGCAGAAAAATGGAGAGCAGCAATGGCAGCTTGGAGCAAACATTGCAGGAAGGAAAGCTGTATCGCCAAGTCAATGCTCTTATCGTCGCCCATCTTCGCGACAATAATCTCAATCAGGTACACCCATTCCCACCCTTTTTAGTTCAGAAAATTTTCTCGCATTTTTCTGTTTAATTGCTGATAAAAAACAGCACATACTAAATTTTCCTAACTTTCTGGGAAATTGTTGATTTTCTTGTATCGGATTAGGCAAAACAGTGATCAGCTTGATTATATGAGAGAAGCAGCGAATGTATTGAAGCCTGAAACCCAAAAATAAAGAAAAGAGAGAACCTTAAATGCCTTAATGGGGACAAAAATGTTTTTGGCTCCTCTTGCCAGAGAACTGGTCTTACCCATTCGTTGAACAATGAGCGTAATTTAGCATTGATGTAATGGTGGTTCTGATGTGATTGAAAAGCACAAATTTAGTACTTAAGAAGCAAAAAGTTACCATAGAACAAGCCACTAAAGTGCAGGAAGATAAATGGACATGTCTGCGATCCATATGTTTGGACATTGTGGTGGTGCCAACGGATTTGACACTGGTAATCTAAGCAACTGGGGGTTTTACCAGACATCTAAATGACGGTGTGGGCATCTCCATTGACATAAAAGCATTGGTGTCCCTATAGACACATCAGCAATAAAATCCATGAACATTCCAGCAGACATGAAGTGTTATCGCACATATGTGTTAAATGCCACATCCGAAGGAATACAAACTTCCTTCATAGGGCCTCGTGTGCATATGACTCTGGGTACAAGTATCACACTTTTATCAGTGGTGAATGGCCGCATGACTGAAAAGCCATGTTCTTGGTGGTCATTCTCTAACTGGCTCAGCACCGTAAATTAAGAGTGAAATCTTCAACTCAAATGGGTTCTTTATTAGTCAGCACTTAACTCCTTCACATGTGTCAGTTCATTGTTGCATGGGTAACAATATATGCAGCGCTTCGGAATTACTTTTCGTCATTTCCTCAATTTTATTTGCACCAAAAAAATTATAATATTTTGAAGGTTATAAGAATTCTACTATCTTCTTCCTTACAGGCTGCAAGTGCAGTTGCTTCGGCTACAATGACACCGCTGAATGTTGAAGCATCTCCTAACAAGCTTCTCGAATTGGTTACCAAGGTTTGTGGTTGTTTGCTGTAGCCTTTTCATTTTCCCTGAAGTTCTACTTGTTCTCTGGTTGTTTGACTAAAGTTACATAGGCAAGAATAACAAGGGAAAAAAGATTGCGGTTCTAATAAGTTAACAGGGTATTGCAGTGGAGAAAGATGAGATGTTAAGAGGTGTTTCTTCATCTGTGCTGTTTGATTCAAATACAGTGATACCTGCGGGATATGGCTCAATCCCACCTCCTCGTGCTGTTGCTGTTGATTTCAGGTAATTTGTTTCTTAAAATCAACTTCCTTTTTTCTCACTAGTCTTGCACAGTATTTCTATGGTCCAGCCGTATGTGTTATGCAAAGTAATTGGACCATATCAGACATCTGCTATAAAAACCTTAAAGATTGGGATTCTGGGATCATAATATTTTTGGTATTCATAGCTGTGGATTAGATTATTTGGTGAAAGTAATGCACAATACTCCATTTCAGAACCTGACTGAGAGGCAACTTGTTTTAAGTTTATGAACTGATCTCCCCTTTTCTTCGTTCCTTGGGTACTAGGCCATAGAAACCCCATGCATCCTAGTGAAATCTATCCTTCTTTGCCTCACCCTAGTCAAGACAAGATACGTGTATGATCATATCATGGAGATATGATATTTGTCACGCATACAGCTGATGTGGTTCTGATATTTTTCAGTTCCTCTTTTGTGGATCTTGTTATAACCTTATGGTGCTTCTTTACGTTCCCGTTTTAACTCTTATCCGGAGTATATGCACTTCTCTTCCTTATAATTTGTGCAGAATGTGAACTGTTGGTAAAACCTGTGATATCCTTGCACTTACTAAGCACTAATGAAGGCCTAATACCCAGACAATGAAGATCTATAACAAAGTGATTGGAATAAAGACAATCTGTTACAAATTATTACCCTCCTTGGGGCATGAATCTAAAATCAATTCCCTCCTTGGGGAGTGAATCTTTGGTGTTGTATATGCTATTTATGTTTGAAGAATGGGTTACTCATACGTACTTATGACAACAGCGGAAATGTCGGTGAATACTAAAACATAAATTTCTGAAGAAATAAAAGAAATAAACATTAATAGCAATCATTAAATTGATCTTTCTCTTTTCCCATAGAAATTCTTAGAAAGTAGCTCATGCAAACTGATGCTTGGTATCCAATAGTTAGACAGTGTTGTAGAATGAAAATACTTGTGAAGTGGAAAAAGAATTTCTGAGAATTTTAAGCAAATGAGTATTCCCCCCTTTTTTTTAAGACAAGTTGTGTAAGAAAGTGGCTTTCGGTTGTTCAATCATTTGATAACCAGAGTCAGTTTTTGATAAATGATCACTATGCTAGGAAGCAGAGACATGGATATGAGAATACAACAAAGTTAAAAAATATAGGATACGGATACGACTAATTAGAAAAATATTATACATTTTTTAGATAATAATAGAAATATAATATATTAAAAACAAAGCATATTTTATAACAATATTTTTTTTGGAAAACCTTGAAGGTGTGAGAAACTTTTATTGATTCAAAATTAAATTACACCTAACTAGGGGGGACGTATGTACCTTACCCCTCGATGCAATCTAATTACAATGGAAGAAAGAATTAAAAAATTCTAATGCATGATTTACATGGAAATACTAAAAAAATATTCTAGAATGTGTATTTTTATAACAATATTAATACTAAGACCTAGCAAGTATTAATTTTTTGATTAAAATAAAAATAGATCAACTTAAATATCCAACGTCCTTATTAAAAATCATTATGTCTATTAACATTTATAGTCCATGAGTTACATAACAAAAACACAAAAATAAAATAAAAAAAATCCTACACTCTCTTAATAGTTAATAGTCATGAGATTAAAAAAAAAATTCTAGTCATATCCTGGTGGTATCCTAACCGTGTCCTGTCTGTGTCTTAGCCGTGTCCAATTGAATTCACTTTTTATTTTCTTCTCGGCAAATAGTGAAGGTGTTGAACTTGGAAACTTTATAGAGGATCTATTCCCTGTATGGTATTTCAAACTGTGTATGAACCTGGCTGTGTATGCGGTGTTTGCTTCATGCCTTGAAATTTTTACCGAGGAATCATGGGGATAATTGGAAATAATGATTGCTAGATGGTGGAGATCATAAACACAGGCTAGGAGGCAGTTGTTTGATTCAAATTACTGTAGTTAGATCAACTACCTTAATGACATGTATTTCTCAAATCAGGTTTCAGAATGGATTGCTTAAGAAGAAGTTTGTTTTTTGTGGGAAGCTCGATAAAATGTAGACAAAGTGATCCACGTTAATAGATCTTAGAGGTGGCCCTTTCTAGCCGCCAAAGGGTTGATAATAATGCACAAACATCTAGTGGAACAAGTTAGCAACAATCAGTGATCCCCAGAAGACACTTCTGTTTTGGTGAGACTCTTTTCTAAAGATGCAAATTTGATTCCTAAAAGATTCATTGAAAAAGTTTTAGAGATACATTCTTAGGACACTATATCACTCCATCTATTGCAAAAAGCTTATGGAATTTCTACAATAATCAAGTGGGTTCAACTAGCAACTAGGTTCTTTATAACGAGTCTTGGTGCTCGTATTCTTGGAATAAGATCGGATCTATGTAATAAGAGATCACCTATTGACGTGATTTGTCAATTTTTCCATTCTATTACCTTCCAGTAAACTCCATATGGGATTTGTAATTCTCCTACATGATAAATATATATTACACTTTTTTTTTTCTATCAATTTAAGCTTTTAGATTAGGTGGTGTTCAACATGGTATTGAAATCTAGAGTTTCTGAGTTTAAATCACACTAGCATCTCTTCCTTTACTACGCAATACAATCACGTGGATGAATCACCTAAAAGGAGCCACACGTGAAAAGGAGTATCAGATAAATACTTATGTTACAGTCCTATCTAACAACTTACCGAATTGGTAGAGAGGAGTGTAATATAAGGAACTTATCTAATACTTTTCATTTCCATTTTTCCATGTCACACTTACTGAATTGATTTCTTCTGTTTCTATTGCCTCTTTCCCTAAACTTTCACATGTTTTTACGCTAATTGACACATCGGGCACAGGACTCTCATTATTAAACATCGATGGATGCTGAATTATTTTTTTGAGAAGTCCTAAAGAAAATCATTAACCAGTTTGTTTTCTGAAACAGTGGGGTGCATGATACAAAAGGCTCATCGAAGAGTTTTCCGAAGCATGAGACACGGCATGTTTCAGAGCATAAAGTATAAATCTAGAGAGAAAATTATTTTACTCTGTGTTAATTTCTTTATCATTAACTACTCCTGAATATGTTCCAGACAACTTGCTCCACTCATCTAACTTATTTTGCCTGATCAAATTTTGTAGAATGTTGCCAGATGCGCAAGATTTAGTCCTGATGGAAGGTTTCTTGCAACCGGTAGTGCTGATACATCAATTAAGCTTTTTGAGGTGTTCATCCGACACTTATATGAACAGTCATTTGTTCTTCTTGGAATCTATCCAACTCATTGACAACTATTCTTCTCCCCAGGTATCAAAAATTAAGCAAATGATGCTGCCAGATGCAAGAGATGGCCCAGTACGTCCTGTCACACGAACATTTTATGACCATCTACAAGTAAATCCTCATCAATGTCCTATTATGATGTTCGTAAAAAGTAATTTAGGTGATCCATGTTGCACCAATTTCTATAGGATCTATCCCCCGATTTTCCTTTTTACTAGTAATCTCAAAGTTGAAACCCTTTGTTTAGCTCAAAATTTATTTAAAACCCCTATTGTGGAGTTGGTTGTGACTCTACTGACTAAATCTCGACTCAGAACATTTAGTCTTGGAATAGTCAAGCAGACATAGTGTTTTCCTTTTTTTGACTAGTGCAAATTTAAGCATGGACATTTTGAGATTATTCCACCTAGGTTGTTTATCCCCTTTTTATGCCATGAAGTTGGTTAAATTTGAAACCGTGGAGTGGAATTGGCTTATGGGCATCAGATATATTATATTTGAACAATTTGAATTATCTATTGTTCAATGCATTTGTATATGCCTATGGCATACTAATTGGATCTGTTTCCTAAATGCATTCTGTGGTGGAGCCATGTTCTGGCTTTCTTTTGAAAATCAATGTATTTTTGGATTGGTTTTCCCTGTCCCAGCCCTGGGGCCCTGCTGTCCTCAATTCCTATCCTTCCCTTTGGGCAAGGCTATGTGGTACCACTCCGGTTAACCAGTGGTTTTGAAAAGTCACTTGACAGACCTATTGGACCAAGGACCCCACTGGTAGCTTTATACTGGCCTGGCATTCTTTGCAACTCTAAATGATCTGAGTAGCTTCTGATGAGACAATCTCAAAAAAGTAAACGTTAATGATCCATGAACAAGTCACTTGTGATGCAAATTTATGTGGGAACTTCACTTGCGCCACAATTCCCTACCTTGCTATGACTATCTGTTAAGTAACAGAGTCCTTTATGAGCCACCCCTTTGAAAGGAATCATATAATAAACGCTGCGGAATTTAAAAATAATAATTTGATTCCTAATACCAAGATCTATTCATATTTAATACAAACCGAGAAACCTAAGATCTATAAAAAAGATTAAGGGTTACCTTTTGAAGTATGCCTTTTAACAATCTTCAAACATTCTCAAAAACTTTAAATTTTCAAATCTGAATTTGATCTTTATTCCAAGTCTCATAAACGTTTGACCTATCGGTATCCATACGAATTGACAAACTTGAAGAATCTACTTCAACCATTGATAAACTAGTAGAGAGAGAACGAGGGGTGATTTTTCTTGTACTAGTAAGAGAGTTGTTATATCTTTTATCCACCTGCTATATAAAGGTATTTATAGAGCTTTAAAGACTTTAATTCTTGTTTGGGTCAAGTTGCAATTATCTCATAATTACATATAATCCCTTTATTAACCATTAATTGTAATAAAGTCTCTAATTAACTCTTAATTAGGTTTTCACCCCAATTAACTCTTAATTGGTTGTCTCTTCTTTATCCTTTAGTTTCCAATCAATTCTATTATGTGTAACCCAATAGATTCAAGCATACTCGGTTGTAGACATTCGATACTAACTACAAGTAGTATCTCAAATTAGAACTCTTTTTAATTTAGCTTAAATTAGAACTCTTCTAATTCTCCTTTTATGAAAAACAATTAATATATTTATATTAATTTCATTCTTCGGGCTTCTATTAATCATGAGTGACACCTAGCAGCATATCATGATCAACCTCTAGATAGCACGAAGTGGGTAAAGAACCCATTCAATTTACAGTTGTCATACAATTCAATTCTTCTATCACACAATGCCCCAATTGAATTACTAGGGTATGGAATTACTGTCAAACCTCTAACTCAATCTTATGTGTTCGATCTTAGGACTATGGCTCTTAATGATCAATTAGAAACTCTTTTCTAATTGTCGTTCTACCTTGGTGAAGGACTCCTTGAGTCATATCCTAGAAGATCACATAGGACATTCTTCCTTTATTTACCAAGAGTGATAGATTCTATGTTGTACACTCATAAATCTCCATGCATATCTAACTATATCCAACAATACATATCCAAGTTATATGGTTAGTATATGAATATGTTGTATAGTTAAAGCATAAAAGTTCATGCACAAGACAACTATGATGTCTCAAGTCTAAAGATTAGTTGCATAACTATAGCTTTAGGATTTAACATTAACTGATATGTAAAATTCCATATGAAAAATCCTACGTTAGTTAATGGTCATGTTCAGTGAACTTGTTCTCTAACAACACCTACACACCTGCTTCAGTGTCCCTACACTAGTGATTTGGGCGAATCATATTATATCAAATATGAGTAAACAAAGTGTGTGCTAGTCATAGTGCCCACCAAGGATCAAAATATCGTTTTGAAACGGTTGAAACGTTCGAAACGTTTTCGTTTTCAAGGAGACCAAAACGAAATAGTGATGAAATCAAAATTCTGATATTTTGAGGTATTTTATAATGTTTTTAAATGTATTATGATATTTTAATGCATTTGTACAATTGTTTTGAAATGTTTCAAGATATTTTGATATATTTACATCAATATTTTAGAAAAATAATTCTTAAATTTTTTATTTTTTTCATTATGTTTCCGAAACGAGTCGAAATATTTCTGTTTCCGTTTCCTATATGACCGAAGCAATACACCGAAACGATATTTTAATCCTTGGTGCCCACATATTAATCCTATGATTGAGAACATTTAAGAGTTATGTACTAAGAAGTATAGGTCTTATCTTCTCAACTCTTGAGAAATAATCTTCTTAACTTATACTCTATGGACTATGTTATGTATATTAAAATGAAATTAGCTAGTAACATGATAAATAAGCTTGCCCTTTTATTTAATTAAGTAATAAATGTTGCTAGTACAATCCCAAAATATCATCAACATAAATATCATCTATATTGACTTCTTTAAAATATGGTGTATTAATTGGCCAATGCATGCCCTGGCAGTTTTTGAATATATTGTATCAGATATGTGCATGTGTTTGTGTATGTCATGAAGGCATGAACGGTAGACTTCTCTGGCGATGGGTAAATTATTCAGCTGTGGCAGCTGCTGCTTTACCTTACAGAGCATGAGGACACTGTTAGTTTTTGTCACTTCACATTCTTGATAAAGGATTGGACGGTTACATTGTCAGTGGAAACTTTAAGAATAAATACTTTGTCAAGTTGTTTTCTGCTTATCTTTTTCTACTTGTTCTAACCAAGAACAGGGAAAAAAAATGAAAAATAATGTATGCTATCCAACCAGTTCATTTTTATGTGTTGGAACTGCGAACTTGAAAATATTGTCCATGTCAGTGCCCAAAATTTTTATGTGTGGCTTTTGGCTACCTTTAGTTGTGACGCTGGCTCTGCCACTGAATCTATAAAATTGATCACACCCATATCTCGTACTTAATGTCCTGGATGAACCAGTCAGTGTGAACTGGTAACTAATGATTGCCTATTGAGAATGTTTTTGCTTGATGTTCTAGAATTGATTCCTTTTTACATTAGCAAAATATTGCTTTCCTGTTTCTTCCAGTTCACGAACGTACTGAAAGGTGCTTCGTCAATGATTGCTGATTAGACGTGCTCATTCTCCCAACCATGTGAAGATTTTCCTAGTTCATTGTATCCAAATTCCTCTTGAAGCAATGAGAGGATGAGATTTTTGTGCTGATATTTCAAGTAATGCATATATCATGTTCCTGAAGAAGCTTCTCGATAAGTGTACTCCTAAATGGACTAGAATGCTCCAGGTCTCAATGTGTTCAACTTGGCCCTCAAGATCTCTCTGGGTCCTAGTGGTCCCCTACATAACTGAGTGGTAGGGGTCACCACCCCTGAATCTTGTTGTATGCAGCTTTTGCTTGTAGGCTCTCAACCCACTAAAAGAAGGGGGAAAGGAGAAGTAAAGTAAGAACTAAAGAGAAAAACAAGCAGTGTCCTACACTTTCATTTTTAGCCTAGTTAAAAACTTTGTGGATACATGGTTGCCTATAGGAATTGCATTTCTGTGGTCTTTTTGAAGATGTCATTTGCCATATGGAACTTTTCATTACCATGTAGTAGTCATGCTTTTAGTTTTACATAATAGAAGGGTGTGTCAGTATTTAGCCCTGTTTTTGTCTAATAGTTTTTTCCCTACGCAATTGCAGCCAATAAATGATTTGGATTTCCATCCTCAACATGCTATTCTGATATCTGGGGCCAAAGATCACACGATAAAGTATGACTTCCATTTTCATGAAATCTGAGGTCGTCTTAATTTTGATATTCTAGTGTTTGTTATTTTTTTCTGGTTATTATTGCTTCATATAATTTTACACAATTTTTCAACTTCAAATTGTAGAGTTTTCCCTTTTAAACCAATCTATAAAGCCTTGAAGAATATATTGGCTCACATGATACTTTTCTACTGGCAGGTTCTTTGATTTTTCAAAATCCATACTGAAGAGAGCAGTCCGAGTTATCCAGGTTTCTCTGTTCTCTTATATCAGACATAAATATTTTCCTCGAGCACAGCGGTGGAATTTATGATTTCTTTAATTTTGTGATATCGGTCGTATCACCATTTTTGTAGTCATGTTTCAACAGGATACCCATAATGTGCGGTCTGTGTCTTTCCATCCTTCTGGAGATTTCCTTTTAGCAGGTTATTATGTTCTTTATGTTCAGCGTTTTAAAATTATGTTTCAACCTGCTTCAACCTACATGCTTATGTAATATTTTGTACTGCTGTATTGCTGGTCCACACTCAGTTCTATAGGTAGAGTTGTTTCAGAATTTTGGTCTTACATTAATCAGGGCTGTTGGGATAGAACTTGACTTTTATTTAAATAAGTTGCACAAGGCTCACTTATGTGCCTTATTTGCACTATCAACTTGTCAGAACTGTGTACTAGTCTCCTTTCTTCAACACACATCTTATTTTAATAATTGTTGCCTTTTTTAATGTCAAACTGATCTAAGTTCTTTCTGTTTTCTTTCTTTTCATTTCCAAAAACTTGCTTCCTCTGTTCCCTCCTCTCTCGCTCTCCCCAAAAATTCGCTTGGCTTAAAATGAAATTAGCACATTTTTACTTTCCTCTTTTTTTTTTTTGTGTGTGTGTAATTAAACACCATTATGAAGAAGAATAGGCTATTAGTGAATCAACCATGACATGTGAATTTCTACGTGTCATGCCATACTCTATACGTGCATGTCTTATTCCCTACTATTTTTTATGAATGGATCAAAATTTATTGAACAATGTCCTGGTTTGCTTTACAACTGCTGGATTCCAGTCTGGTGTTAATCCTATTTGTCGTTATGCCAAATCTGTAGGAGGCTGAATGTTGGCAAAGAGAAAGGGGGGGGGGGGGGACCTGCCATGTATCATAGTTGGCACAAGTTGGTGGTTGCAGGATTTGGGGGTTGAGGACGACTATGTGTTAGGGAGGTGGCTTAATCTGTTGTTTGATTTGGAAAGCTAGACAATAGGCTGAGATTTGCATGCCCTTGATTTGTGGTCTGCATGCCTTGTTTGTTTGTATTTTATCAATATTTTGTCTATTACAATCGTCCTAGGGTTTTTTTTTTTTTAATAATTTGATACAGTACTGTTTCTACAAATTCATTTCATTCACAACATGCATATTCTACTGCAAATTGACCTCTGCTGATGGGGTGAAATTGATTTCAGGCACTGATCATCCAATTGCACACTTATATGACATCAATACTTTTCAATGCTACCTATCAGCTAATGTCCAAGAGATCAATGGAGCTATAAATCAGGTAATTGGTCAACTTGCTATAGTGCATGGTAAAAGTATCAGCAATCCACACTTTCAATATGAATCAAAGATCATTTATTATGGCAGTATGATTACTTGGTCATGCAGGTGAGATATTCGTGTACTGGTGGAATGTATGTAACAGCATCTAAAGACGGTGCTATTCGACTGTGGGATGGGGTAACTGCCAGTTGTGTGCGCTCCATAGTTGGTGCACATGGAACAATGGAGGCCACGGGTGCAAACTTTACAAAGGATCAAAGGTAGAGGTTTGGCTTCAAGTTGGAGGACAAACACCTATGTTCTTCAAATTGCAAGTGTTTATGTTCTTTTACTTGCGTGTATTTTCTCCTAAGAATGTCAGGTGGCATGTTGACAACTAATTGTGTTAGTTAAAAAAAAAAACTGTATTTTATTAAATCTTGGTGCTAGGTGCTGAGGGTGCGATATGGAATGTCCCCAACACGCTGAACTCAAACGTGATTGAGCTAGAGGGTGAATAAGTCCTGATGCTCGATTGGGAAATTTTATGCCCAATTCAAAACTTAATTCTATGAACTTATTAATCAAGTCAATTAAATGCAAATCCCCTGGTTTAACAAAACCCAATCAACTAATTTGAAGATTTAAGTCAAAATTCCCAAATTCAAGCATACTCCCAATCCAATTAAATTTGCCCAATCAACACGGTCAAAACCACAAATTTGGATTCATTCAACCATATTACATGTGAAGGATGTAAAATTGTAGGCAAGTATGAAAAACAATGCAAAATTCACACACCACAAAATAAGCAATTTTACATGGAGAACCTTGTGGGAGAAACCATGGGACCAAAGTCCACCTATCCTAATTCACTATGCCCAAAGTAAGATTACAAACTGTAAAACTTATACCGCAACCAATACTAAGGTTAGACGCTTGTTAGCTTCAATCTTCACTCTGGAGTCCACGTCAAGCTCTTGACCAATTGCTTCACTAGGCAACGAATTGTGCTCCATTGTCCGCCCTTGAAAACCTCCTCTTCACACTTGGAATCCTTCTAAGATCCTTCTTCCACTATGGGTTTGTGTGTTTCTACAAGATCTCTATCTAATGTAAATTAAAGGTTTAAGCACAAGATTGATCTAGGTAGATCTATGGCCTTTTGGATTTAGGGAGTCTAGTTTTTGTTAACTTTGTAGATAGATTTTAAGGCTTCTCTTTGCTTAATGAGGCTTATCCTAGCGAGAAAAGACCATCGCATGTATATAAGTCTTGAAAATAGAGTTTAACTGGAGCTAAAGAAAACTCAAATTCGCGAAGACCACTCGAGTTCTTGACTAGTGGTCATGGAGCAGTGGCTACTGGAATGAACAAGTGTGGAGACCGCTCAAGCCATCTTAAGACCGATTGAACCATATGGCAAATCGCATCGACAGTCGGCCAACAGTCCTCACTAGTTGGCTTTTTAGCTTTCAACCTAAGTGTTCAGAGATTGCCTGAGGCGTAAGGCAGTGAGCATCCAACAGTTAGTAGTTTTTAAGCCTAAAAATCAGCAAAAACTAACCCTATTGAGCACTAAACAGCGTTGCTTAATAAATCTTTTAGTGTTTTAAAAATCTTATTCAACTTGGCAAAAGAGTCATGCTATGAATTTGATTCTAAATCCAATGTTAACTCTCCTAAATTAACCAAAATAAAATAAACTATGGCGACTAGGTATCTAGGTCATTTACCTTTACCTAAGCTTTGAGGATCCATTAAAGTCTTCAGTTGTGACTTTGTAGCTTGGACTTTATCATACCTCCTTGCCTCGATCTTCATCCTCCTAGCATCTTGACCATGAATTTAGTTGAGATATTTACATGTGACCTCATGGAATTAGCCAATTACATACAATTTTCTAGCAGGGGCATACACAATCAATGATGTGAAAACATTTTACTCTTTATGGGCTTCTTAGGATGCTGGTTTTCAAATTAGGAAGAGATTTGCAGGGATTTCTTTTTGTAGACTCTGAACAACAGGAGAATATAACAATCCCTGTATTTAAGACAATAATGTCTTCAAAAAAGCTAAACTTGACACCAAGTAGTTTGTGTCTTGGGTTTTTTGGTCAAGTGCTATCTACCCTGAAACTAACCCTATGTTGTTGCAGCAGTCATTTAGTTACTGCATTGAACTAGTAATGTACATCATGTATTTCTTATGGCATGTTAGGCCATGTATGTTGGACTTTTTGCTGCATAAACTAGAGGACACACTTTACAAAATTGTGTTTCCTGTGCATTAGGAGTCGCTTTTGATGCCATGGAAAATTGCTGCTGACAGACTGTTAAATTTCAATGAGACCTGATGTTAAGCCCTTGAGAATCTGGCTTTGCAAAACAATTAACGTGCCCATTTTCTAGATATGTTCTTTCTTCTGGGAAGGATTCTTCTGTGAAGCTTTGGGAAGTTGGCACTGGAAGGCTGGTTAAGCAATATCTTGGAGCTACACATACACAGCTCCGGTGCCAGGTATGCCAATATTCTGGTGTTACTTTCTTTGTAAAACTGTGTGTTGGGCATCTACTTGTTTGCTTGTTTTTATTTGACGCCATTTTTTAACCGCCTAATGATTAATTTGTCTGGCTATTTGCTAGTACTTCCCTTCAATTACTAGAGTCATATAGAGTGACGAATGAGTGAATGCAGATTTTTCAATTCTGATTTACTTCACTGCACAATTTCCATTTCCCCCTGTAGTAGCGGTATTCCATTTCAGGACTTCACCCTCCTATGGTGAGCTTATAGCCTCAAGTGATTGGGACCAATGTGTAATTGTTATCATTTCAGTCCAAAATATGTTGCATGTGGGACACACGTAATTTATGGGTTAGCAACTTAGCATGAATAAAAAAAAAATTTCCCATCCCCGTTTAAATGCTAAAAAGACAAATTGTCATTGTAATTATTGGAAAAAATACTCATCTTCTAGTTCTTCTTCAACCTTCCTGCCATGACAAAAACCAATTAACCCTAGGCCTTTTGTTTTTCCCTCCAATTCAAACCACAACTGGACAATGAATCCTGAACTCCTTAGGGATTTGGTAACCCACGGATTCACACTACTTTGATGCCGATTTTTCTTCGGCTCAGTGCCAGATTAGGGCCGAAATTTGGCCTGAAATTTCTGCCACACCAGTTGGAACCCTTGCTATTTTCTCATCTAATTCATGCAGTCAATCACCAGGAATATTGCTGGAAAGTTGGTGCAATACCAAAGCTTTTCTGCCAATTTTTGGCACCAACAATTGGAAAATCCCATGAGTAAGTTCTCTTAAACTTTAACAATAAACCCTTAAAGAGTGTTTAGCCTTCAATAGGTGTGTTATGAGCATAAATTATCCATCTTTGAAGATTTGGAAGGCTAAGGTGCCTTTGAGAGTGCTAGTTTGTGCATGGGTTGTGGCTCACTGCAAGACTAATACCAATGATGTTCTCCAAAAGAGAAGACCTAGTAAATTCCTTTTTCCCTCAATGGTGTGTTATGTGTAGGGATGATTGGGAGAGTGGATTATCTATTGTTGCATTGGCCAGTTGCTTGGTACTTACGGAATAAGTTGTTTGAGATGGTGGGGCTTTCTTGGGTGGTTCCAATTTCCATTTCAACTATGTTTCACGTGGATTTTAATGGCTTTGGATGGAAGATTAGTGGAGTTACTCTTTGGAATTGCACAATGTTTGCCATTGTTTGGGTGGTTTGGTTGGAGAGAAATTTAGGATTTTTTTGTCTATTTCTTAGCTTCCTTTTGGGCGTTGGTCTTGAAGGAGCTTGCAAATCTGCCTCTTTTTTGAATTTTGACGAGTTGGACTGCTGTGGGCAGATGTCATTTATCTTAATGTTTGTTTTTATGGTTTATATGTAGCGCCTTTTTGGTGTAATGCTATATGGTTGGACTTATTGTCCAACTTTGCTCTTCATTTTTTATTGCATCCATTTGTACTATTAACAAAATCTTTGTTTCTAGTCAACAAATAAAATAAGGACAAACAAATTAATATTTAGCACCAAAGGAGCAGTGGTATTTTGGCCAGAATATTGCATGGCAGCGATCAAAACCAACACCAAAATGCTTAGAATTCCATGGCCATTAAGAGCCCTATGATTTGTGGGCCTGGTTGATCTTTGTATAGCTCGAATTTGAGAAATAAAACTTAGGGTTTTGGATGGTGTTTGAACAGATGGTAGCTGGAGCTTGAAGAATTAGTGAGGATATCAAAGCCATTTTGCCATCAACGTTAACAGTGTTAATTGTTCAGATTGGTCCAAAGTCACACGAGATTGTGGTTGTATTTGAAACCATAGGGGATGAAGTGCTCAAGGGGGAAACCACAGTAGGGTAAAATGGAACATGAGAGTAGGAATTGATAAGTACTAGTAGTCTTTTAACCATATCAAATTAAAGGCAAGATTTGTTAATATCTCTTAAATGTTTCTCTCTAGAGTCCTTGTTCACTTGGACCTTCAAATGGGACATGCAATGCCAGCGTGAATACTGGATACTGAAGTTTCTGTAGCAGTCATCAAATCTGATTAATGTCGTTTGAATTATGCAATTAAAGAAATCTCTTATATCCTCAATTGAATCCTTTATTTGGGTTTATCTTTAGTTGAGATTTTAATTGACTCTGAACTGAGGTTGGTGATCTTCACTGAACCACACCCATGGATTATTGTTGAAATGCTTATTATTAGTTTGACAGGGTTTGGTTTGTTGTTTTTTTAATCAGCCTTCCCTATAATCCTGCAAGACAATTGAAATCTGCTTTTCCTAATCAAGACTTAAGACTTAACGTATGTGTTCTACGCGCAGGCTGTTTTTAATGATACAGAAGAGTTTGTGTTATCCGTTGACGAATCAAGCAATGAGGTCAGTTCAGCTTTTTTTGAGTTTCGTCTTCAATTGCTTTAAGGTCATTCAGTGGCAATTAACCGTAAGGTCGGGCGACAGATTGTTACCTGGGATGCCCTCACAGCAGAGAGAGTGGCAAGATGGCCTTCCAACCATATCGGAGCACCCCGTTGGGTTGAGCATTCACCAACGGAAGCAGCATTTGTTACCTGTGGAACTGACAGGTCCGTACGGTTTTGGAAGGAAACCCTTTAGGTGCATGGAAGATTTTGGTGGACATATCGCGACCCCGGGGACCTGGCAAAGTGGAAAAGTAATTTGGTGGGATGTGTTTTTGATAGGATTTTTCTGTTTACAAGTACTACTTGGATGGTGGATGTAAGGAGGGATAGAAATATTGTTTCGGTGCATACTTATCGGTCAGTTTGAAAACAAAAATGTTTCGAAAATAATCTGAAAACAGAAGAAAATCGGGTATTCATTTGTGAAATATTGATTAAAATATATTGAAACATGTCTAAATATACCGAAACACTTTGAAAGATAAGAGCTTCATATTCAATCTCTAATTTGTTCCAGTTTTTATGAAAATGGAAATATTCTTGCTGTTTCAACCCACTCGAAATGATATTTAGTTCCTGCTGCCATCAAGTGTTTTGGACCTCCCAAAAAAGTTATCAAGAAACTATACATAGCAATGTGAATTCATCATATGCAGATTCTAGGCAGCAAGTGTGAAGGATTCTAAATTAAAAGGAAGATAATTATAATCAGATATCAATTAAGTAATAGGTAAGACTGAATCTGAAGAATTCTATTGATATTATACGCTAAGTTATTACAAAAAAAGTATAAAATTATAATTCAATCTGCTGGGCTTATAAAAATGAAATTATTTGAGGGGTTTTTGGGAAGCCATTTTTTTTTTTTTTTTAACTTATTTGACTTTAAATACAAACTTTAAAAATATTTGACAAAATGTACAAGCAGAAGGACCGAAGTATTTCTAATTATCATCATATCACTATTAAAAAAACCAGATAAGGAAACTAATTAATTTAAAACCTAAAACTCTTAAATTTTAAAGTTTTCTTATATTAGAACTCTTTCTCTCTCCCTTTATATCTCATATGTATGTATATACACGTATACATAACTAAATATTTTGTGACACACACACACACACACAAATATATATATATATATATATATATATATATATATATATATATATATATATATATATATATATATATATATAAAATTGTGACACATATACTGTGATGCCAATGTCACACTGTGAGTGTCACAAATGTGTCATTAATGTAACGCTACATACAAACACATATATTGAATATGTTTCTATATGATCTTTCAAGCAGACAACATCAAAATTGTTAACGATTTTTTTATTATAAACTTATCATATGATATAGGTAAAAAATAATTTGGTTAGCCCTAGAACAAAACTTGGATAACTCTTTATCAAAAATATGTAATATAGATAGTTTTGACCAAAATTTGAATACCTCATAATCAAAACTGTGTAATTTGAGTAGTTCTTCAACCAAAATTTTGGTAAAAATTTAGTCAAGAGTTATTAAAATTATTTTTTTCTCATATTTAGGTATCATGTGAAAAAAATTATGATAAAAAATTATTAGCAATCTGAACGCTATCTGCTTAAGAAACCACATAAAAATATATTTAATATTTCGAGAGACGAAAATGATGCAATTAAAATATTAAAACCCAAAATGATACAAAACTCATACTTTAAGGACATCAGATACAATTAACTCTTATATTTAATTCCTATTTATTTGTACCTCTCTTTCATCCCGCAGTGTTTTTTGGATGTAAGGGCTTCCTACTGCATTTCCAACGATTCCGGGCCAAATTAATCGAAATTAAACTATTTTTGTGTAGAATTTGTCTAACTAAAGCAGAATCGATTAAAAAAAAAGAAAGTAAAAGCTACAAACTTCATAAGATTTACCCTCGCTGTGTAAACAATCAGTCAAATGGGAATGAGTTTTCCATTAGAAGACATTAACTACCAATCGTGCCCCAACACTGAAGTGAAAATATCTAATTCCCAATCATTACGAGGCCTTTTGTATTCATACTTAAGATAATATGTACTTGAAGAGGGAGGTACAATGCAATATAAATGATTATGATATAAGAACGTCAAATAAACTTATTGAAGTCTGTTATATTTTATATTATAGATATAAAATCACATGCGCGACTCATGACCTCAACTTAAAACAGTTTTTCGAACAAAAGAATAGAGTAAGGATTTTCTTGAAACATCATGCATGTAAATTTTGATCCATGAAAATCTTGAAAGCAACATTCCGGCATTAAAAAAGGGTTGTTATTAGACAAAGTAAAATGATCACGACACTAAAATCATTGAAAATTAATCTGTAAGGAGAATATTATCGTATACTTACACGACTAAATTAAGCTTTTTAATTGATGAAAAAGGCAAGAAAAGTAGTTCCAAATTAACCCACCAAAGCAGTAGCCAAGGTAAACCTAATTCTTTCAAAGAATGAACGAACAAATGAAGAGATCACAATAATGCCATGTGTAGAATTCCAACCTATTTAACATACCAACAATTTTAATTTTTGGTCTTCCATGGCAGAGAATAGAAATGCCATCACTAAAGTTCCATGCAACTTGATGGCTTCCTTGGATTACTTTTTCCTTGATGACTCACTTACTATTCCTTTAGTTTCAACACAAATGACCAAGAAAAGACCCAGTGTGCATAAATCCTTAGCTTAACAGCAAGTTGAGAACATGAGACATTTATCTGCAACCAAAATCAGCCAAAGAACTTGCATTCATACACGCGACAACAAGCTGCACAAAGATCACAGCAAGGACACACTCCACTCCAGGGTGAACCTGCATGTAAAATCACAATTTAAGTCCAGAAACTAAATACAAAAGCAATCAAGAATCTCTCTCTCTCGTCTTCACCAATGTATTATGTCCCTCATAAAAACACTTGCGCCAATTGTTACGCAGATCTAATGAAGCTCAAATTGGATTTGCCAAAACAGGGCTCATTTTCTTCCCTGAAAGTAACTCGGCTTGTTAAGTAATTAAAACCTTAAAATGTACGTACTTATAAAATATTGAACAAGCTTGCTGGTGAGCCAAGCTGCTTAGTTTAGCTAACAGCACTAATCTAAACTGCTGACCATATCTAAACCAAGAGGTGCCAAAATATCAGCTACAAAATTGTAAAGGGTAAGCTATGTATCTGATGAGCCACATACTGCATACAAACAACTGCAAAAACTCGGAAAATTTTAACACAGATACCACTGCAAGACATTCCAACGGACCAAGGGAAATATCATTTGAAGCTCCTCGGAATCTATATTATGAGTTCTTTTTTTTTATATAGATTTTTTCCCAAAATTAGAAAGGATCTCCGCCTACAATGTATTTTACGTCCATATCTGCAAGCCTACGACAACTTAAATTTTTTTCAATTGCCAGTAAGATAATACATCTCCTAACGACTTTTTATACAATCAAAAAACGTAAAATATTACATCTCTTATTCTCCTACTTCATTTACAGCAGAACAAATGCATTGCTCCATACATTCTTTTGAGAAGTGATGCCCACAGAGGGTGCCAAAAACTTGGAAGGATGCAATCAGTAGCTTCCTAAAGACCACAGAGAGAGTGGGGAGGGAGAGTTTTTTTGCTTCATTAATAGGTTGTTCAATTTTCAGTACCTTTTCACCAAAGAACAAAATACATGTAGATATCCAATTAGCTTCTTATTTCAAGAGCTACCTGGCCCCAAAATGCACAACCCAACTTATTAACACCTCAAAACTTGGTTAAATCAAGAGTTAGCTTCAATACACAGGTAAAAATGATAAAGAAAAAAAAAACCCAAACAAATCTGTGTCAATCAGGATGCAGGCTAGAAAATGGGAGATACACAACAATGCCTTATAATAACATCAAAGAGAGACATCACAGTGCGGAATAATAAGTTCTGTCAAAGTCCTAGTATAAGATTGCCACGGTTATATATAAAACTTATTACACCCAAACGTCAATACAACATCTAACAATTTCTTGGGCTTCTTTTTTTTTTTTTTTGGAAAGGGGGAGGGGAGAGGGGAGGAAAGAAGAAAATTCAATTAATGCTAGCATTGAAAGAAACCAATAGAAAATGAGGAAATCGCACTGGGAAGGACTATGTAAATCACATTGGAAGCACAACATGCCACAACTATTTTACATGAACCACAAGGTCCACACCTATATCATCACCACTACTAACATAGAAACATTTCTTGGAAAAGGAGTAATTTCATATGAATCTGCAAATTCTGCATTTGATAGCTAAAGCGGCTTTTGAGTGAAGCAACATAAAGATTCCCGGTGATGGTGTGTTTCTTCCTCAGAACAAAACTATGGTTCTTATGAAGCCATATAAGGATAAAAATCTACTCTGAACCAAGTTTTATTCCTAATCTTGCCAGCGATAGGATCAAAATGACAAGAACATAAAAATAAGTACACAAAATTCTAAAAAGAACTAAAATTCATTGTAAAATTTTGAGAGAGATCAAAAAGCTCGCCGCATCCCCCGCTTTGGCTTCTTCACAAAGCTTAGCCGGAGTTTTTTAAGACTTCTCCTCTTCCTTGCCATCTTCTCTGGCAACGTCTCCCGCTTCTTTTCCTTCTTCACTACCGTAGGCTTCTTCACAAACCTAGGATCCAACTTATAAGCTTTGGGCTCCACATCAACCCCATTACTCTCAGCCTCTTTATAGAGAGCATTTGCTTTATCCACACGTCCGTGTGCACACAACTTCCCCATCAACAAGTCATAAGTCTTGATCCCCGGTTTACAACCATCCTCCTTCATCTTTGCAAAAACACTCATAGCATGATCAATCCTCTCAATCCCACACAGAATTTTCAAAAACTCATAATATGCCTTCTTATCAAGTGCGTCCCCAAATCCCACAGACTTCATTTTATCTATCATTTCATCACCTTCTCCAACCCTCGCCGCCTGATACAAACTCCTAATAAGCAAAAGAAATGTTGTCTCACTAGGATGACATCCCCACTCTTTCATTCTACAGAACACATTCATTGCTTCCTCAGTCTTCCTAATCTTACACAGATTACTAATCAAAACATTGAAAGTTTCCACATTCCGTGGAACACCTGCTGTCTCCATTTCCACCAACACCCTCTCAGCCTCGGATTGAAGCCGAAACGGATCCTTTTTCCTACAAAGTGTACACACACAATCAAGAATCGCATTATATGCTAACGGACCAATCTCAAACCCTCCCCTATACATCTCCCCTGCTAATCTCTTTGCCTCCTCAAGCTTTTCATCAACACACCACCCCTTAATCAATAAATCACATATATATTCGTTAGGAAAAAACTCGTTTGCCAAATTCTTCACCATTTTCTCTGCATAACTAGCAAACCCATGTTCACACAATTTCTCCACAATCAATTTTAAAGACTCCAAATTCCTCACAAACCCATAATCTTTTTCCATTCTGTCAAACAAAGACACAAAATGTGTGGGTCTACCAGCCCTAACAAGCCTATCAACAATAGATGCTAAACTTTTAGGCCCAGAAATATCACGGCCATCAAGAAGGACATCATGGGTAGCTTTGAAATCTTTTCTTCGGCCGAAGTAATCCACAAAATATGAAATTATTTCATCGGTGGGGTGAAAATTAGGCCTCGCAATGACCCATTTGAGAAATCCCAAGACTGTGCGGCCAGCATCTGGGGAAAGATTAAGTGTAGAGAGGATTAGGGCAGGGCTTAGAGTGATGTGAGAGAATGAAAGGTCAAGGCGCTGGGAGACAGAGAGGGAGTCTGAATTTGGGTCTTTGAGGAGCTCGCAGGAAAGAGATTGGGCTATGTCTTCGTCGGGGGTTTCTGGAAATTGGTCGGCATCAGAAGAAAAGGATTTGGAGGACACAGAAAAGGATAGAGACAGAAAGTGGGTAGTGGGTTTGTGATGGTGGTAGTGTGGCGGAGAGAGAAAGGAGGGTTGAGAGAGACAAAGCTCGGGATGGTAATGGTATGATTGTCGTGGAGATGAAGAGAAGAATCGGAGGAGAGTACGCAGGTGGAGAGGCGACAATGGCCTTCCGGGTCTCGGCATTTCGGTATGTGCCAGAGAGAGAGAGAGAGGTGGCGGATGTGGAGCTGTGCGATTTTCTGCTTCTTCCTTGGCTGAGTGCAACGATTTGGAGACCTAAGGAGTAAGGAGAGTGTAAGGACAAATTCCATCTTAACCCCTTGTGGTTTGACTCTGTAACACTTTATCCCCTGTAGTTAAAAAATAAGCACAAATAAAAAATTAGTGTTTACAACCAAAAAAGGGTAATCAAAATCAAAATCAAAATCAAAATCAGGTTCCAATCACAATTCAAAATTTTGACATTAAAATTCTAAAGTCAAACCTTGAAATTCCGATCAAATGGGTGTCTTCAGCAAAATCAACGATGTGAATAAAGTTAATAATAAAATGATGATTGTGTTGAAACGGGTTTTTAAGTGGAGGCGATTGGTGGTGGTAACTGAAAGTGGGTCTGGTGGGTGGAAGAAATGGCGGCGACAATGGTGATGGCTACAATTGAGTTTCACATGATGGGTTCATCGATACTGATGGTGGCTAAAAGTGGGTTTAGAGCAACTCTAAGGAGAGTTGTTATTTTTAAGGTGTCAAATGTTGTTTTATAATTTTGAATAGTATTTTGGTACTCTTGAATTATAAATCTGTTACAATGATAGACGCTAAAATGGGGCGTCATTTTAATTTTTTAATATTTTTATTAAAAAATATAATTAAACTTAACGATTATATTTTAACAGGTATAGGAGATATCCTCAATAATTAAACATCACGGTTAAATTTTCAAATTTCAAATTTTAAATTTTAAATTTTAAATTATATCTAGCAAAATTCAAATTTCAAAATTTAACCGTTGAAATTCAAATTTAAAAATTGACCCTCCAAAATAAAAATTCAAAAATGTATAATTTGTCTATAAATATGATCATTTTTTTTATGTTTTCATCCATCTATATTACATTCTCTCTATAAATTCAATACATTATTTCTCTTTGACTATTTATCCTTTCATATTTTCATTCATCAATCTATATGAATCGTTATCCTAATATTTTATAAGAGATCCTCAATATTGAAGAAAAAGATAATGATGACTTTTATATGTTGTATACTGCAACCAGAAGGTCATAAGGGTCTAGTTAGGTATGAATAAGAAGACATCGTGATTCTGTTCTAGGCTACAGAACAGTTAATCGTGGTAGAGTTGAAGGTCACGAAAGACACTACCGTGACTATTTTGCTACCCCTTTTGTATATGAAGGTTTTTTTTCCAATTGAGGTTCTGAATGAGTCGTCCTTTTTTTCTTCGAATTGTAAATGAGGTTGAACAACGCGATTCATACTTCATCCAAACAACAGATGTCGTTGGAGTTCTCAGTTTGTCATCCATTCAAAAAATAACGGCTGATTAGAGAATTCTTGCTTACGAAACATTGACAGATTCTGTGGATGAATACATCAGAATTAGAGAAAACACTGTCACACAAAGTCTGAGAAGATTTGTGAAAGTTGTTATTGCAGTATTTGACGACCATTACCTGAGGTCACCAAACAATATCAATATTGCTTGATTGCTACAGATGGGGGAACAACGTGGCTTTTTCGGCATGTTAGCGAGTATTAATTACATGCATTGGAAGTGAAAAAATTGTCCTACTGCGTGACAAGGTATGTATAGTAGTCATTGTCAAGAACCAACAATTATTTTGGAAGCTGTGGCTTCTCAAGATCTTTGAATATGACATGCATTCTTTGGGCTTCTTGGTTCGCTGAATGTCATAAATGTTCCAAATAGGTCCCCTGTTTTTGCATTATTAGCAAATGATCATGCTCCTCCAATTAACTATATAATTAAAGGCCAATAGTATACAATGGGATATTATCTAACTAATGGTATTTATCCAAACTGGTCGACATTTGTTAAAACAATTCCCTGTCCACAAGGTTTGAAGAAAAAATATTTTGCTAAAATACAAGAGTCGGTAAGAAAAGATGTAGATCAGACATTTGAGGTACTTCAAGCCTGTTTTGTAATCGTGCGTGGAACAACACGTTGTTGGGATGAAGAAACACTTTCAAATATTATGAAAGCGTGCATAATAATGCATAATATGGTCATTGAGGATGAATGAGATATTGATAACAATGACTTTGATGAAAGTGATGCAAATCTACTTGTAGAAGTGTCGCATGTGTATACACCAGAATTAGAAGACTTCATGTAAACTCATTGTCATATCAGGGACAATGTAACTCATTCTCAACTGTAGTCAAATCTTATCGAGCATTTGTGGGAACGACATGGCGACTAATAATATCCTCAATTTGAATTTCAAGTTGTATTTTCAACTCCAATTTCAATTTCAAGTTGTATTTTAAATACATAGTTTTTCATAAATAATAGCAACATAATAAATACTGACTAAAATTAATAGTAACATAAATAATACTTACTAAAAATTAAAAATACATAGCAACATAAATTAAAACAACTAAAAATTAAAATCCCACTTTTTCATAATCTCTATCTTCAAGCTATTCCAATATGTTACAGAAATTGGGTTCATATTAATAGTGTTAGTTTCCATAATTTTCATTTCATTCTGTATTTCATTCTGCCTTTCAATTTCTTGCACCTGTCTTTCTTCAATTTCTAACTATCTACGATGTTATTCTAATGCTATCTCCTGTTGAGCATAAATTTTGTCGTGTCGCTCAACTTTTTGTTGTTTAACTTCCATTCTTTCATTCCAATAGTGATGATCCAATGATGCTTCAACACCGGTTTGCTTCTCTCTTCTTTTTTTTTTAAATTATTTTTTTGAAGCCTTTCTGTCCAATGACCTATCGAGGTTGAGAGTGGACGAGGGTTCAATGTCATCCCCTAAATATGGAGTTGAATAGCAAGATTCAACATGAGTTGATTTAACAGGACTACCAATTGAATGAGAGTTTTTGCTCTCTAATTGCTGATGAGATTATCAATCCATTTCCGCTCCATTTTCAATGTATTCCAACAATGCTCGTATTGAAATGGTCTTCCAATGATCTTAGCAAATATTTCTTTTGCATCATCAACCTGAAAAACATATGAAATTAGTCAGTCAATAGTTCAAATATTAAATTATAGTATTGTCTAAATTAAAAACTTAATCATTACAATATTTTGCTCGGTGTGTCCACTTTGTTGCAGTCTTTCAATTTAATTATAAAAATCAATAAATTTGTCGCATTTTGCATTTATATCAGTCCAACGACTTTTAATAGAAAATTGTGAACGCTCTTCTTGATTGCCTCTATGAAGTTCTAAGTATTTCAATATTATTTGCCAGAAAGCACCACCTTGTTGGTCATTACTAGTAATTTCATCTTTATTCGTGTTAAGTCACGCAGACACAATTAATTTATCTTCTTCTAGAGAGAAGTCCTTTGTCATTTGTGATTTTCTAACTCTTGTAACGACTTCATTTTGTACTGGCGTCAATACTGTGAGATTGATCTGCATAACATCATCATATAAATCAATGTCGTTTATAAGCAAATCAGTGAAAAAATCCTCAATTTGTGAATCCATCTACAAAAACATATAAATAGATTATAATCAATTAAAGAATGAGCATAAAATAATCATTTAAAAAATAAATAAAATTACCCTTAATTAAAACAAATAAATCTACCATAAATTATAAATTATATTACTAATTATAAATTAAAAACAAGAACAGGGGACATATGTAATTATAAATTACAAAGTCTTCTCTTTCTCGTAAATAAAACGTTTCCTATCCCTTCCCCTTCCCCAGATCATCAGCTTCCCCTTCCTCCCCTTTCCCTACGCCCTCTGCAACTTATTACAATGACAACAATTTCTAAGGGAGCAGTACACCAATGGATCGATAGGAAGCAGTACACCAACGGAACACCGACAACAGTACACCAATGGCATGGGTTCAGGGAGCAAGGGTTTTCAAAGGTAAGGGTTCTAGGAAGCAATTTTATGGGTTTCAGGCAAGCCTCCTTCTCCTTTCCTCTCTCTGTATTTTTATAGAATTTGTGGGTTGAATATAGCCATTGAGAGGAACAGTAGAACCAATGGCTATTTTACAACCTCTCAATTCTCTCTCAAAAGTTGCCAAATATGCCAGCTCAAAACCCTAGATGTCATTTTGCCACCTCTGATGCCACCCCCATTAAAGCAACTCCAAGGGGTTGCCAAATGCCATTTTGCACCCTTGAACAGTGTTTTGGTACCCCTGAACAATGTTTCTACTCCAATGGTAAGTATCAAAATGGGGTGTCATTTTAATATTTCAATGTTTTTTATTAAAAAATATAATTAAACTTAATGGTTATATTTTAACGGATATAGTTTTCATAACGATCGCAATATAATAGATAGAGTTTTCAAATTTTGTCCGCTGAAATTCAAATTTAAAAATTTAACCGCCAAAATAAAAATTAAAAAAAGTATAATTCATTCATAAATATGATCATTTTTCTCATGTTTTCATCCAACTATCTTACATTCTCTCTATAAATTCAATATCTCATTTCTCTTTGACTATTTATCCTTCCATATTTTCATTCATCAATCTATATGAATCGTTATCCTAATATTTTAGGAGAGATTCTCAATATTGAAGAAGAAGATAATAATGACTTGGATATGTTGTATTTTGCAACTAGAAGGTCAGAAGGGTTTAGTCAAGGACGGATAAGAAGGCATCGTAGTTCCATTCCAGGCCACAAAATAGTTAATCATGGTAGAATTGAAGGTCACAAAAGACTCTATCGTGACTATTTTGCTATCCCTTGTGTATATGAAGGTTTTTTCCAAAGGAGGTTCTGAATGAGTCGTTTTCTTTTTCTCCAAATTGTAAATGAGATTGAACAACACAATCCAGTCTTCATCCAAACAACAAATGTCATTAGACTTCTCGGTTTGTTATTCCTTCAAAAAGTAACAACTGCTTATAGAATTCTTACTTATGGAACACTGGCAAATTCTGTTGATAAATACATTAAAATTGGAGAAAAGCATTGTCATACAAAGTCTGAGAAGGATTGTGAAAGTTGCTATTGTAGTGT